ACAGTACCATAACTTTCTGTATTAAAGAACAAAGGCCCTGAAATGATTTATATGTCTCCTTTGCTTTTATGCCCTTGTTCTTAACTTTTTCTTAATATGTACTATTTTCCCATCCGATTTGGTGAATTTCTTCCCAAGTGTTCTGACACCAAAACCTCTTTCCAGTCAACCCCTGATGTACTGGTATGTTAGAGCAGGCATAGCTAATGACCAGGCTACTCTTAATGTGCTTGTCTGAGCTAGTTCATGACCAACGCCAGCTGTTTTTGGTTCAAGGCCTCCAAGCCATCATAGTCATGGCAGCTACTACTGCTAAAGAACATAATAAATACTCATGAGATGAATTAACCCATCAATGAAAAAGCACTGAAGACTTATGGGGAAGGAGATGACACAGTAGCACTTACAGTATTTTGGATTATCCGTGATCTTATCCACTGTAACATTCTTAACCAGAGCCGTTTCAGAAATTTCTTTCACAAGGATCTTTCTTGGACCCTTCTCTATATTGATTATACCAAGCCAAATCCCCCTCTCCCTCCATTCATATCTCTCTCTGGCTTCACAGAAGATATCATTGTTGCTGCTTGGACTTGCCTTATTCCACCTTTTAGAATTCTTTCTTCTCTCTCTCTCTCTTTTTTTTTGACAGGCAGAGTGGACAGTGAGAGAGAGACAGAGAGAAAGGTCTTCCTTTGCCATTGGTTCACCCCCCCACCCCCGCAATGGCCGCTGCAGCCAGCGCGTGCTACGGCCAGAGTACTGCGCTGATCTGAAGCCAGGAGCCAGGTGCTTCTCCTGGTCTCCCATGCAGGTGCAGGGCCCAAGCACTTGGGCCATCCTCCACTGCACTCCCGGGCCACAGCAGAGAGCTGGACAGGAAGAGGAGCGACCAGGACAGAATCCAGCGCCCTGACTGGGACTAGAACCCGGTGTGCTGGCGCCGCAGGTGGAGGATTTGCCAGGTGAGCCGTGGCGCCGGCCAAAATTCTTTCTTATAAACTATAACAACACCAAATATCATACATAATTGATTTAATATTGTTTTACAACTCATGAGGGTTGTTATTAATTATAGGCCAGTCAATTCATGTACACATCATGTTTCACTTCAGCAGAACATTTTTAAAAGATTTTATATATTTATTTGAGAGGCAGACTTACAGACAGAGAGAGGGAGAGACAGAGAGAAAGGACTTTCATTTGCTGGTTCACTCCCTAAATGGACACAAAATCCAGGAGCCAGGAGCTTCTTCTGGGTCTTCCGCATGGGTATATGGGCCCGTGTAATTGAGCTATCATCCACTGCTTTCCCAGGCCATAAGCAGAGAGCCGGATCAGAAGAGGGGCAGCCGGGACATGAAATAGCACCCATATGGGATGCAGGAACCACAGGCAGAGGCTTAGCCCACTGCATCATGGTGCCAGCCCCATCAGCAAAGTTTTGAAAATCTTCTTCAAGTTCTGGCATTGTGACACAGCAGGTAAAGCCACCACCTGTGATGCTGGCATCATGTATGGACCACTAGATCACATCCTGGCTCCTTCTTTTCCAATCTGGTTTCCTGGATGTGGCTAATGTGTCTGGGAAAACAGCAAAAGATGGCCCAAGTGTTAGAATCCCTGACACCCATGTAGGAAACACAGATGAAGCTCTTGGCTCCTGGGGTTGGCCTGGCCAAGCGCTGGGCTTTTGTAACCATTAGAAAAGTGAAGCATTAGATAGCAGATGTCTCTCTCCACCTCTCTCTCTCTCTCTCTCTCTTTCTCTCCCTCCCTTTCTCTCTCTCTCTTAATTCTGCATTTCAAATAAATCAATAGTTCTTAAAAATATTTAAAAAACAAAAAATCTTCTTCAAATTCTACCTTTCTTGGATAGTCCTTAAAATAGTTGTCTTCATGCTTAAATATGCAATAAATATTTTTTCAGCGAATTATCTGTACTCCTGCTAAAAAAACAAATGCACAAACAGCCTAGCTGCACTGATTGAAAAGTATTAATAACTGGGGCCGGCATCGTGGCATAGCAGATAAAGCCATTGTCTATGATGCCAGCATGTCATATGGGTGCCCATTCATGTCCTGGCTGCTCTACATTAAATCCAGCTCCCTGCTAATAGCCTGAGAAAGCAGCAGAAGATGGCCATGCACCCATGTGGAAGCCTGAAAAAAACTTCCGACTCCTGGCTTCAGCCTAGCCCAGCCCTGGCCAGTGTGACCATTCGGGTAGTGAACCAACAGTTGGAAGATCTCTCTGTCTCCCCCTCTCTCTCTGTAACTCTTTCAAATAAATAAAGAAATCTTTTTTTAAAAGTACTAACAATTTAAATTAGCATGTAAAAGATTAAGTTATTTGCCCTTCAATATTTATTATGGTTCAGCCTTAAATCAGTAGTATGGTCCAGTCAAGTTTCCATTACCAAGTATTGCTTTCAAAATCTTAAAATGGAATTGGATGTAGCAGTTCATAAATTCCTTTGTTTATATCATTTCTTTATTTCAAGTTTAGATTTAAACTCATCCCACACCCATACAAACCAGAACCACATTATTTAAATTCATATGTGTAGTAATCTCTAATTTATAGAAGGATTAAGCAACACACACACACACACAGAGAGAGAGAGAGAGAGAGAGAGAGAGAGAGAGAGAGATGGCAAATTTGACTGGATTATTGAATCATTTGCAGACTTTAGCTTGCACCAGAAGGTAGGACAATTTTTACTGGAGTGATAGAAGTAAGGAAGCATTTATATGGCTGCTACCTCCTGACTTAGTTCTTCAAGGTAGTTTGTTAATTTAATGATAAATTGAGGCTTGCTAGAATTCTGGCACATCTATATTTGGAAGCTGGCCACTTAATATTAATAATAAATGTTGTCAGTCTCATTCTCCTCTATGATGTGGTGCACTTGCATCATTATTTAATTCTGTAATGCAATCCCTTTGCTTATTGCTTTGTGTGGCCCTATGCCATATTGTTGTTAAATATATATTGACAGAGAATGGGGAGAATTTGAATTATCTAAAGGCTAGTTTCTCTTTGCTTATTGAGAAGCAGAGGTTAGCAAGCTATAGGCTGTGGGACAAATCCCACCCACCTCCTATTTTTGTAAATAAGATTTTACTGAAACACATTCTTGCTCATTTGTTTTTCTGTTGCCTGTACTCACTTTCGCACAACAGGGTTGAGTAGCTATTGCAATGACCATATGCCCCACAGATAGCTCCTATTGGGCCTTTTCAAGTATGTTCACACCTGGAGTTAAAACTTGATAAAACACAACTTTTAAATAAACGTGAATTAAGAATATTTTATTTCCTGGTTTTAACATATAACAGAAATAAAACACCCTACCAAATATTTGAACAAAGACAGCAGTGGTAATTGATATAAAATCAATTTCCAAATTGTCATTAAAAACGGCCTTAATAAATATACTTTTAAATTATCATTTTTATATAATTTCATTTGAAAGTAGATAATTTGGGAAAATTTTATAGAGGTTGGTGCTTGGCACAGTGGTAAAGATTCCTTTATCCCATATCAGAGTCCTTGGGTTCAAGTCCCAGCTCCGCTTCTGATCTGGATTCCTACTGATGTATACCTTGCAATCCAGCATACAATGACACAAGTTTTTGGGTCACCACCACCTATGTTGGAGAACCAGAATGAATTCCAGGCTCCTGGATTTTGACTTGGCCCAAGGCTGGCTGTTAAAGATATTTCAGAAATAAATCAGATGATCAAAGATCTCTCTGTCTCTGCCCCTCTGACTTTCAAATATATGCATAAATGATGCAAATTTTTAAAAGGATGCTTCACAATCAATATAAAAATCATGACTGTCTAAATTTTATTTTGTTTTATAAACAGAAAAGTGTTTTGCTTTTTAATTTTTAAGCAATGTATAATTTTGTTGTCATCTTTTTTTTACATCATAGAACTAGAACATATACATTTGACAACACTACAGGCCAATGTCCTTTCTTACTGAAGTAGAATATTAAGTATTAATGCCCAGGGTACTTTAAATGACATTATACATAAAGTGTTATTTTGTGGGCTCAAATTCTACATTTTGTAGACAACCACAATTGCTTATTTCAAAATTTTTAGACTCAGAAATAAAGTCTAGAAATGAAGACCATCTGAAAGATGCTGAACTGTAAAAGCTGGCACCTGAAATCTTTGAGAAAAGTAGTTTCCCAACTTCTAAGAATCAAGGCTTTTGTAGTCTCCAAGACACTTACAAGATTCCTTCAATTATTTCTCTTTGAAGTACATTTTGAAGAATTCTTCTCATCTTTAGTCGTTTTTATTTATCAAGTCCACCGCTGCTCATAATGGGTTGATACTGTTCTCATTAAGATGACTCTTGATCCTCATCTCACTTCTATTTTGAGCTCATCTTCCACTCCTTATTTTTATTTCCTACTGATATGTACATATTTTAAAATAATTCTGTCATTCAGAGGCATCCACACATTTCTTTTCCTTTTCTTTTTCTCCTTTACCTCCTTTGAATCGTTTGAGGATCATGTGTTTCTCTTTTCTTAGTTCTCATTGCCACTTAGCATTTATTTGAAGGATTCTTGCTTTTCTGCTGTACTAAACATGCAAAGACTTATAAGATGCATGGAATAGTATTAACATCGGCCTTCCAGAACCGGAACTAATGAAATCATACTCAGAATCACTGGTAGACAAAGCTTTGCTAAAAATGACTATCATTTCCTTTCTTACTTTCTTATTGCCCATGCGTCAAACACTAAAGGTTTGCAAATGCTTGTCCAAAAAATGATTGTGTATGAGGGAACTGTAAAAAGTTGGTATAATGGAATGGATAGATAAGCCTGTATTACTGTAAATCTTTTTGAGATCCCTGCATAGTTTTTCATATTACATATTTTCAATGAACTTTTTGAGGATACTACTATACATAGATTTCAAAACTCATTGCACCAACATAAACTTATCTATTAATTTACTTTTCATCAACTTTTTTTTTTTTTTTTTGACAGGCAGAGTGGACAGTGAGAGAGAGAGACAGAGAGAGAAAGGTCTTCCTTTGCCGTTGGTTCACCCTCCAATGGCCGCCGCTGCAGCCGGCGCACCGCGCTGATCCTGGCAGGAGCCAGGAGCCAGGTGCTTTTCCTGGTCTCCCATGGGGTGCAGGGCCCAAGCACCTGGGCCATCCTCCACTGCACTCCCTGGCCATAGCAGAGAGCTGGCCTGGAAGAGGGGCAACCGGGACAGAATCCGGTGCCCCAACCGGGACTAGAACCCGGTGTGCCGGCGCCGCAAGGTGGAGGATTAGCCTATTGAGCCACGGCGCCGGCTTTTTCATCAACTTTTTAATGTTCCCTTATAGAAATACAATTTAGTCATCTTTAAAACACTTGATGAAAAACCTAAATACTAATTGTCTTTATTGAAATTGTTATTGTCTTGAAAAATACGGACAATGATCTACATGGAGAATACGATCAGTTCTGGTTCTTACAATAGCAGTCTTTGGAGTGTCTGAGATTATCAGCATCACAGTTCACTGTCTGAGCCAGGATTCTTCTACACAAGCAATGTTTGACTTTTAAACACCATCATTTTGCCTATTCAGGGCATTGAACTTCTTCCATGGTGAGGTATTCGGACAGGTCAGGCTTGGGCTTGAGTAAAGAAATCCTGAGTGAGATAAAAAGGAAACCATGGTTGGAGGGGGCACAGTTCTTTCATCAGAAGAGGCACTCTTAAGAAAGTATGACAGATAGCAGAGCCATGGACATCCACTGTTGATCTTACAGTGTGATGTTTTAATTATGCTTGTTTATCTTCCTTTCCTTTCCTAAATAGTATTTTTTTTACAGGGATGCAAGCTAAGGTTTATTTTACTTATTCCCCTAGCACCTAGTACAGTGTTGGTTACATAGTGGAAAATCAACAGATTTTTATGGAATATATAAACAAATCACGTGAAAATTTATTTTGAGTTAAACTACTATTTGACCCAGCTATCCCACTCTTGGGAATATGTCCAAAGGAAATGAAATTAGCATATGAAAGAGTTGCCTGCACTCCCATGTTTTTAGCAGCTCAAATCACACCAGCTAAGATATGTTATCAACCTAGATGTCCATAAACTGATGAATGGATAAAGAAAACACGGTGTATATATTTGGTGGAAAATTACTCTGCCATAAAAAGTATGAGATCCTGACATTTGCAACAAAATGGATGGAACTGGAAATCAATATGCTAAGTGAAATAAGCCAACCCCAAAAAGATGAATATATCATGCTTTATCTTATTTGTATATATATGTGTGTATATATATATGTGTATATGTGTGTATATATATACACGCATATATAAATATGTGTACACTATATATATTGTATAAAATTGTATGTATATGTTATCATTTGGCACATAGTTATAAATATTGTTTTACTAAATCATATCAAGTAAATTGCAATATACTCTTCTTTCCCACACTAGAAAAGACATAAATGGAGGGAGATAATAGAGAGAACTCTTAGAGTACTAGTAATGCTTTGTTCTTAATTTGGGTGCTGGTTAATGATGGTTATCAGAGGACAAAAATCTCATTGCATTTGTGTGCATTTCTTGGTGTTTATACTATATTTCAGTAAAATGTTGTTTTAAAAAACAAATAGTGCAAAAATTGGGATAAAAATATCATATCACTTACTATTTTGTTATGTGTGTGTCTGGTATGTGTAACTAAATCTATTAGTGCATTGAATTATACGAGTGCTTCATTCATTCTGCTTAACATAATCAAGAATCTAATGCAAGCACATCACTCAATAAATACAATATAATAATGATATATTCCCCTTTGCACTTCCACTCTCTGCTCTCGGCTGGCCAGGAAGTGGATATAATTTATGTGCCATCTTGGACAATAACTCTTTCTTTCAGGACAGCTCAGATTTTATCAGTACTGTTGACCTTTCCCCTTCTCTGACAGCCCTGGGAACAGCAGCCTAACACCAGCTTGACTGGCAATTCCTGAAGGCTCCTTTATTTTCTCTCAGGTTTCATATCTCATAATCAAGCTACTACTGCCCTGTCTCAAACCACAGACTTCTCGTCCAGCTCACTCCTTTGTCAGCTCTCCAGGTACATGTTACCTTTGAGTAGACACCTGGCAAGAACCTGAGTATAACTGTACCTATACTTATACATAATTTGGGAATTATCCGTCCGTGATAAATCACCTCATGAGTTTTCTTTAAGTACATTGAAGTTTCTAATTATATCATCAGTCATCATTTTTTCTACAAAGCAGACTAACTTAAAAGCAGCCACATGAAACAGCTGCCACTCTATCACTTGAGGGCTGTGCTACTCTGATCCAAAAATTTTGTTGTTCATTCAAACAATTAAAATGAATTTTCAAAGATTTCATAACATACAACTCACAGCTGACAAGTGAAATAAAGATCCTAGTATAATTATATTGATTTTTCCTTGACATTGTTTTATTATGGTAGAAACAAAAAGGATTAGAAACAAAAATAACTGTTTAAGTCCAAACTCATATTTAACATTTGGGCGTGTCCCCTTCCTCTTTTGTAGGCTAGAACCAAATGTTTTAGAGTGATATAATAGATCCTTGGGGAACTTTCTATTTTGTCATTGCCTTGAGTGTTTCAGACTTGATTGAAAACAAGCAAAAGTGTATACTCCATGTTCTAAGGCATTGTTGGGAGGTAGTGAAGCTGTCATCAGCCATGTCCCTCAATCTGTGGAAGAGTGGGAAGGACAAAGGGAAAAGATTCTTGAGATTAGTCAGTGTTCTAGGACATGTGGGAAATGCAGTGTTCACGTTGAGAAGCAAATGCAAGAATAATTAGAGTATCATCAGCTGGTATTACACAGTCTTCTGGGATATCATCTTATGCAATAGACTTGCTGATCACCTTGCATGCCTACCTCAGCAGGGAGAAGAAAATTGGAGCCCAATGTAAGGAACAAGTACAGGGTAGCCATCACAGCTGTCTATAGCCCCAGTTTGGTAATGGAAAGTATATGTTTGTTTCTGTGGATAATGCAAAAAGTATCTGCCTGGAGAAACCTTGCTAATACTGCATTCCAGAGAACAGGCTCTACACAAGGGTCGCCAACAGCAAAGATGAATAGAGAGAAGTCCTGATGGGGGCAACCTGAAAGCTTTAGTCTGGAAATTCCACTATGGGAATTCCTGGAAGGGCATTAAAAGGAGCAAACTCTACATTATTCTGATTTCTGGACATCTTCCCCTGGAAAATATTCTTTAAAGTATGATTTATCGAGCTGGTGCCATGGCTCACTTGGTTAATCCTCCACCTGTGGTGCCGGCATCCCATATGGGCACCAGGTTCTAGTCCCGGTTGCTCCTCCACCAGTCTAGCTCTCTGCTGTGGCCCAGGAGGGCAGTGGAGGAAGGCCCAAGTGCTTGGGCCCCTGAACCTGTGTGGGAGACCAGGAGGAAGCATCTGGCTCCTGGCTTCAGATCTGCGTAGTTCCGGCCATGGTGGCCATTTGGGTGTGAACCAACAGAAGGAAGAACTTTCTCTCTGTCTCTCTCTCTCACTGTCTAACTCTACCTGTCAAGTTAATAAAAATAAATAAATAAACAAAGTATGATTTAATCTATCTGAGAGGTAGTGGGAAGGAGGAAGAAAGGGGAGAGAGAGAGGGAGAGAGAAAGAGAGGAGAAACTCCCATCTGTTGAATCACACCCCAAACGCCAGCAATGTTCAATGGCTAGGACCGGACAGGGCTAAGTATTCATCCCTAATGATAAAAGATGGACTCAAAAGCAAGCCCTGGGGCAGATCCCACTCCTTTCTAGCTCCATTCACCTCAGGTGTAATGTAGCCATGGTAGGGTTAGAGGAATAGCTCTGAATTTGAATTTTATGTAGAACAAAGTTATGGAAAACTACTGGAAAGTAAAGGTGTGAGATCTGCCCTATACAAAATTATTTGATAGGAAAGATTCAATGAAGTACAAAGTAATGAGAACAAAAGTGTTAAATATCATTTGTGTATTTTATAGGAGAACATTTCCAAAAGTTAATGCAAAGGAGGTCCCCAAGACAGCAGCTTAGCAACAGGATGTTCCAAGTAACATGGGGGAAGAATAGATAGTTAAAAGGGAGCAAAATTAGAGGCTGGAGATGGAGTTGGGAGAAATTTACAATGGGAAACTCAGGAGGCCAACACATGCTGGGCAGGTCCACACTGAAAGAGCAAATAAGGAAAAACAGAGGAGATGTAGGAGCCATGTATGGTATAGGAGGTGGACACCAATCCCCAGTGGACCAGATAAACTGGGAATTGGACCTGTGAGCAGCAGCGGGGGAGGAGATAGATGAACTGCTTTTGAAGTGCCATGCAGGAAAGAGAAGGTACAGTAAAGCAAACAGGGAGATCAGGCACTCCCCAGTCTATCTGCCGCCCCCGCCTCTCCATCCAGACCTACAGCCAGCCAAGAGAAGCCATCTTGAATGTTTACATTATTGAACCTCCCAAGCACACATCCATCAACTGCGAGAGCTCCCCCATCACACTCCCCAAATGAGAGCCAGGTCCACAACATCTCAGAGGAATTTCTTCCTCACCACGCAAGCTAAGCAACAAGGAAACTAAAACCGGTTCCATCAATCATCGAGAAGTGAACTGGGTCTCAGTAGGTGGGACTAAGTGCTCCAAAGCTCATACCCAACCCACCATGACTGACAAGTGAGCAGGGCTCCAGTAGGTGATGCTCTGTGCTTCCACTTGAAATGCACAAACCCACAGCAGCTCATAACAGAGAAATCTCAAAAACTCTCCAGACTAATTTATATACACACACTGGAAGTTGCTCTCAACAAAAGTGCTCCCAAGAAATTGAGATATTAAATAGAAGTCAGAATGAAATACTAGAAATAAAGAATTCAATAGATCAAATAAAAAATGCAATGGAAATCCTTAACAGCTGAATAAGTGAGACAGAAGAAAGGATATCAGAGCTAGAAGGCAAATTTCTTACGGAAATATTACAGTCAGACCATTTAAAAGAAGAAGAAATCAGGAAAGTTAATAGCAGGGTTGGAGATTTGAAAGATAATATCAAGAGACCAAATATACAGATCCTAGGAGTTCCAGAAGATGTTAAAAGAGAGAAAGGATTAGAAGGCCTTCTTAGTGAAATAATAACAGAAAACTTCCCTAATCTGTAGAAAGAAAGAGACATCCAAGTGCAGGAGGTACACAGAACTCCCAATAGACACGACCAGAAAAGATCTTCACAACAGCACATTGTGGTAAAACTATCCAGAGTAAAACATAAAGAGAAGATCTTAAAATGTGCATGAAAAAATGCCAAACCACATTCAGGGGAAATCCAATTAGACTCACTCTGGACTTCTCATCAGAAACCCTACAGGCAAGGAGAAAATGGCAAGATATATTTCAAGTCTTCAGAGAAAAAAACTGTCAACCCAGAATACTGTACCCTGCAAAGCTCTCATTTATGAATGAATGCTAAATAAAAATTTTTCACAACAAACAGAAACTGAAAGAATTTATAACTACTCATCCAGCCCTATAAAAGATGCTCAAGGATTTGATGTACCCAGAAACAGGAACATCGCTATGTAACAAGGTGAATGAAGAAAATAACCCTGT